CCTAGACGGCCCATCAGGTGCCTGTGAAGGGTTTTCCAGTGTCTGTAGCCAACAGCACACAAAGGAGCAACACACTTAGCAGCACATCCAGCCAGGTTGGCGTCTCATGCCGAATTGATCAAGGACACATTTACAGTTGGGATAACTGGGGACAGCCTTGGCTACGTGCCTGGAGGAAGTCTCCAACTCGCTCACCTAGATTTGTAGTGAGAGGCTCTGCCATTTGATGCCTTTGAACCAGCCCAGTTCCTCTCTGCTTTTTCCTTTCTCTCTAATTCGGTTACAAAGCAGCCAGGAAACGTTAGCAAATTCAACGATCGAGTGTTATCACTCCACAGAGTGTGTCTTTTCCAGTGCTTAATCAACCTCGTGGTTAGAAAGTTCTTCCTAATATCCAACCTAAATTTCCCTCGTTGCAATTTAAGCCCATTACTTTATGCTCAAGCCCCCGTGGACAGAAAGAACAGCCTCTATAACAAGCCTTCATGTATTTGAAGACTGTTATCAGATCAGCCTCCCTGGACTTTCTTCTCCAGGCTATATAATCCTTGTTCCAAGTCATGTTTCCTAGCCCTCCTTCGTGATGCTCTCCACTGCTCTCTTTCCAATTTCTCCGTGGTTTTTTTTGAAGTGCAGTGTCCAAAACTGGACATAGCACTCCAGACGAGACCTCACCAGCGCTGAACACAGTAGAAGAATCACTTCTATTGACTTACATGCAATACTCCTGTTAATGCATCCCTGCTGGCTTTTGTTTTTTTGCAACAAAAGCACACTGCTGAGTCAGAAAAACCTAAGAAATGCCAAAATGGGACAGATCACAACTTCACCTAGCCTAGTATCCTGTACCTCTCACTGGCAGATTGCGGTGCCAAGAGAAAGAGTATTTAAGTAGGAACTAGCCAGACAGATCTGTCTCCTGCCCCTCTCCCTCACCCAGACCCAGTGCTCAGAGACTCATAGAAACATTTTTCCCAGACCCTCACAAATTTTGACACAGCTATTCCCAACTAGGACAGTTCGACAGGGGAAGAGGGTTTCCAACACGTATGCCCAGTTCCTGTTTTTGCTACATGCTGGCTACTACACAACAGCTGGAGGCCCTCAAGTCCAAGTGCCCACCTCTGCACCCCCCAGTATCTTAAATGCCAGTGCAATAAGGAAACAAACACAGCCTTTTGCTCTTTGATGACACTGCCCCCTTCCAGCACCCTGTTCTCTGGCCTTCATGCCAGGTTTTCTGCAAGGAAACCACTTACTGATTGCGCAGAATGCAATTAAACTGTGTTAATGAAGTTCAAACAAGTGTGATCATACATTTGGCAGCATGGAGGGAAATGAAAGGTCAGCCATGGCCCTTTGTCATGTTTCCACAGTGCTAGCGAATGCTAACAAGCTGGTCCCAATTAAAACAAGCTCCACTTAGTGCTCAGGGGTTTCGTTGAGTGCTCCTGAATCCCCAGCCTTTCCAGAGAAGAAATGATCCTGATCTCAGCTACACCTATGTAAATCCAGGGACATCCCAGGAAAGCCAATGGAATTGAACCCATGAAGGCCATGAAAACTGGGTGCTGAGCCTGTTAGTCTAGCACCGCAGTTTGATGCAAATGGAAACAGACACCACGTTCCCTAGCTCTTTCTCCTATCCTGGCTTTATTTTCTGAATAGGAGATGTCCAATCAATCTTTGGCTGGTTCTAGCTCCTTTCCCCCCCTCTGTATTCACACAGAAGTGGAGCAAAATCTGAATCCAGAGTCAAGTTGCTTGAGTTTCAGGACCCTGCTTTCTTCTCTCAGTCCTGAAGTACCACAGACAGTTTAAACCAAGCTACCGATGGACTTGAACAATGAAGTGGCCCCATGGCCAATCTAAATCTGCTTTTATTCCTTCCCCTCCTGGGTGCCCAGTGCCAAACTCTTCTAGAAAGCAGTGTCTTTGGATGCTCTTACATGCCAGACACCTGCTTTCACCCATAGCCAGCTGCTCTGTATCTGACCTTGCTTTGAGGTCTTGGAGCAGTTGTTCATAGCCCACCAGAGAAGCCAGTCACTGCAAGCGGGTGGCTGGGAGTACTGGTATTTTCTGAATGGTTTAACCACGTTAGCATGCACATAGACTCACATTAAGACAGGCACTTTGCTTTTCTCCAGGGTGTCACCCAGCAGTAGCATTTCCTTCCCCACAGCCTGACTGCTCTTATGCAGGACACTTCATCTAGTTTGAGGTACCATCTGACTAATGTCTTGAAAAATGCAGCAACTCCCTGGCTGTCACTTGTCTAATCCTGGCATCCGCTCCTGCTTAGTCTCTAAAAAATGAACTGTCTTGACCATTTCTCCCTCTGGCTGATACTGTCCTTTGTCAACTGGAATAGCTCCTAGCCCTCCTGGATGTCAAAGATTAGCACAGAATTCATTAGGAACTAGGTCCAACCCAGCCTGTCTCCTGTTCACCCTTAATGCACCATTATCCTTGCAGCCTGCCACATTCTCAAAGGCAGTTACAACAACCACCTTCAGTTCAGGTGCACGGTGCCGCTCGCTTGCAGTGCCGAACCAAGAAGGCAATCTCCTTGCGTGTTCACAAAACCTGCAAGCTATAGCAGCAGCAAAAAACCATTCGAAGTTCTGAGATAGCATTAAAAAATAAATACATTTCAGGATCTCCCTGGCCTGGCTGAGATAAAAGCCAGTGATGTTCACGAGCAGTGGGAGGCTTCATGCATCTGATTTATGAAAGCAAAACCATCCAGTTGTTCTGGGAAGGTTTCCAGGAAATAGTGGCACTTATTGCTAAGGATCATCTTTCTGTAGAAGTCAGCCTCCCATGGTATGAAAGTGATAGCAATGCTGGTTAAAGCTCGGGGGAATGAAGCCTTCTGTTTCCAAGGGAAGAGGTACAGCATTGGAGCGGGCTACTCTATCACCCTAAGGGACATCCTCCGGGGCTGACTGAGAGTTTGGTCATCATGGCTTTGTCCCAACCTTGCTGATCACTAAAAAGCCTGGCAATAAGAACGAATTTTGGGGATGGTATGTGCGCTAGATACCGATCCACTGAAACCAGCCTCTCACTACATCCAGGCCACTAAAGAGAAAACACACCATCTCTGAGTCACTAATGATGTGCAGCTATTATTGTGAAGTTTCTCTACATCTCACAGCCAGAGCTCAGACCTGCCCAGTGCCCACACTCCAAACATATAAAGAAATGCTGGACCAGTGCAAGAAGTAGGTCATAATTATGCAAGGTAGATCCTAAGAGCCTAATTGGTTGCTAAGAAACTACATTTGCAAAAATGCAAGTGTCTAACCATGACTAACAATAATTGCCTGGACAAATTAGTGTCTGATAGCAGCAGCACTATAAAGGATTTCACCTAATGCTGCCTACAACATGGAAATCTTTCATCAGTTATGGCCTCCTATCATAGAACGACTGACCGATTCCACTGCAGGAAATATACCCACTTAAACTATTTTGTATCTCCAGTATCAGAGATTTCATATAGCCTGGAGAGAGTGTGATTAATTTTAGGCAATATCTAACCATCCATCCATCCATCCATCCATCCAGATGAATACTTGTTTAAAAGTGTCTGGATATCCATGAAAGATCTGCATGTTAACCCAGTATTCATAGTTACAGCACTGCAGCTATTTTCCATCTGCATCTTTCCAAAATCTGTCACGAGTGCCAGGCAGACATGGCATGTTGGGAAACACACAATACAGATCATACTCTGCCAGTCTTGTTCACGCAAACTCCAGCTAAAGTCAGTGGGAGAACTGCCAGAGTGAGTTTTGAAGGAGAGGCATCGGATAGCAACCAAGCGACTTCTGTCCTGCAGGGTCACAAAGCACTCATTGCACTGTGAGCACTGGGTTTACTTTCTCCACTGCTGATATGGAGCTGCCCCTTGGCTGGCCAGAAGCAGAGCAGGGACCACAGGGCAGGGGAGGTTTGAGTTAGCGTGCTTGGGCACACCCCTGCTCTTTGATCCCAACAGGAGGAGTGAGAACTATTGTCATCCAAGGGACTCAACAGGTAGCATAGAAATGGAGATGCCTTAGAAGGAAAAAAAGAGCAGGCCTGCTGGGATTTGAGTCCCAAGGCCAGATTTTAGTCCACCAAACTATGCAATGGGTAAATGGACTTGAGTATCTAAGTGCAAATTTATTCCACTCTGTTAATGCATCTGTTGTTGTAACACATGGTCCTTAGGAATGAGGCACAAAAAAGCAATGAGCAGTTAAAGGGTTCTGCATTAACCATGTTTCAAGCCCAGATCAATCCCCACACAGACAATGGTGGTTTACATTTCAAAGGGTAGAAGCACTGGATGAAAAGAAGTGTAATCAAAGACTTACTGAAGACAAGAAGTGAGGAACTACATCTCACTGGGATAACTGATAGCTAAGGATCTCAGATGAGATCTCTCCCTCTCTCTTTCCCTCTCTCTCTCTCTCCATATATATAGCATCTAATAAAATAAGTTGCTGCTTACAAAAGCGTATGCATCTCTGATTTAGTCAGTCTATAAGGTGCAAATTGGACCTGCCTTCTGCCTTAGGTCGATATGTCTGAAAGGATGTAAATATTTCCTAGATCGAACTGGATCAGGAATGTTACCTGACCTCTCAAACTGAATTGCACTTAGGCACCTAAGTCCATTGATATATATAATAGATCGTCTGGCCCCTTTGCTTATAATGCCGAGTGAGCGCTCTCAGTCTGAATGGAATAGTTCAAAACCCCTGGCAATGATTCATCAAGCACACTTAGCCACACTTCCTCCATCCCCACATACCCATTACCCCTCAAGAGAACAACCTCAGTGCTTTCCTTCCCCTCTTCACTGTGGTGCCGGTGGAGATAAAATGCCCAAGGTGACTATTCCCACTCTGGCTTAGAGCAAAGAAAAATCCCAGTGACACAACTCAGGTACCAGGGCACACCAGCCTTGACTTAAGCCATTCCCACCTTGGATGAGCACTCACCTTTCCACCCAGTTCTTGTAGCTGGGGATGTCCTTGGCATAGAGGAGCTTGTTGGAGGGTGAGTCCTTGCCCAACCGGTGCTCGGAGGTTGAGCAGGAGTCCATGAAGGTCTGAGCCACCACGGAAAGGCAGGCATCCGTGATGCTGTTCTTGTGGATGTCGAAGACAAATTGCGGGTTCTTGATCATGTTAACCCAGAACCTCAATGGCAAGCTGCGGGGAGCACAGGAGAGGTGATCAAGGTGGATCAGAGTCGGTGTTGTTTGCGGTGTGCCATGTTGATAACAGGCAGGGAGCTGTGTCAGGCTTTACCAAGCCTCATTTCAAATGTCTCCAGGGATGAGGCCTCTACCCTTTCCAATGGGAGAATCACTCCACAGTCTAACAGAACTGCAAAGCAGGGGAGCTGGGGTCTACCCGCATCTCTGCTACTGATATACACCTGATAGGATTATACTGCAGTCAGTGGAGTGATATCAGGGGATGACTTTTGTATAGCGAGTCCTAGGACAAGACCATTACCCTTACTCATCCTCAGTGGCATCCAGTTCTGAAGAAGCCCCACTGAAATCACCAGACGGGGGAGCAGAATTGACCCGTCACCTTTTGATGGTGCTTATAAGACTTCCATAAAGTGGGGAAGAGTCTGGGGAAGAGTTACGAAGTGTGTTGGGAGGAGACATGAATCCCTGCTTGTTATAGGCTGCACCAGATAGGGACAGTGCCAGGGCAGCTATTCATTTGCACCCAGTTGCCCCAAAGCAAGTCAATGCTTTACCTTGAGGTTCCCTTGGGGCAACTCGGTTTGTGGAGCCATGTCCAAAGAGCTAAGATAAACCTCCCATATTGGAGTCCTCTTGCTGGGTCTCCATCGCCCTGTCTCCGGGGCTTTATAATGTCTTGTTTCAAATGTCTCCAGGGCTGGGGCATCTACACTTTCCAAAGGGAGCTCATTCTAGTGTCTAAATGAACTGCACAATAACAGGACGCTCCTAAAAATTAATCAGTTTTCTTTTCTTTATATTCATCCCATTGTTTCCAGTCATCCTCTTCCTGAAACACCTGAAACAATTCATCTCTCTCCTAGGTGACTATCCGTTCACATACCAGCAGACAGTCAGCATGTCCCAATTGACTGTGCCAGGATCTCTCCTTCCCCATATGCTCTTGGGCCAAATAGGGACTGCAGTAGGACAGGGGAGAAAAAGCTGGCCATAAACTCTTTAGATGCTAAACTCCAGCCACAACTGGGGAGAGGGGTAGGAGGCTGCTGACTGGGAACGCTGAGGCCTGTGAAGTGACTTGGAGTTAATTTATCTGATTGAGAAGGGATCATTTCTTCATACCGCCACCCCCATGCAATCCCCCCCCCCTTAAATAAACCTCCTGCTCATTTAGTCTGAGTGGCTGCAATCAGCCTTAGATTAGTGCCGCAGATAATGTTAATAATATGCTAATGTTTCATTAGTTGAAAGCCTCTTTGGTGCATGGGGTTTCTGCTTTTATTGCGCCGCCTGTGACGACCTGCCATCAGCACGGCTGGTAAAAGAAGCAAATACATCAGCCAGGAGCCCTGCCGTTTTCCTTAGCTGCTCCTTTTATAAGCCCTGTATTTGCACAGGCAAGAGGGAAGAAGTGACTCCCCAGGGAACTCTTTCCAGCAGGGAGACTCAGAGGATAAGAGCAGCAAGGATCCTTCTCCCCAGTGATTGCAGCTTCTGGTCTCGGGCCAATTACACCCGGCGAGAGCAGTGGGGCCGTACGGGAGATTTGGGGATAGCAGCTATGGTAGCTTGAACAGTCAGGCTGTCACGACTGTATGATGGGTTCTGCGTCTGGTCCTGGCTACTTTAGCATTCGAACTGCAAATATCTCTCTCTCCCCTGGGGACTCCTATTATCCCCATTTTATACAGAGAGACCCTATGGCACACAGAAGTGATGGCCCAGGGCCTGAGAGGCATTTAGGCACCTACACCTGTGGATTTCAAGGGCACGTAGGTGCCTAACCACTTTCGGAAAACCTAAGTGCCTGCACCAAGGTGTCACAGGAAGCCTGTGGCAGAGCTGGAGAAGGAACCCAAGTGTCCTGAGTTGCAGGCCAGTGGTGTAATCACAATCCCATTCTTCCCTGGCTGCATTTCCCCTCCATCTGGGACACTGGGCAGGGCTGTCCAGGGGGCCTCCCACTCACCAGTTGCTCTTCCAGGTATGCCGCACGTGAGGGTCGTGGATGTTGTGCTTGTCGGCCTGTTCATCCAGGAAATCAAACATGTATTTGATGGCCAGGGGCAGGGCACTGCCACGGTGCGCTGTGCTGAAAATGGTCTCAAAGAGGTCATCGACAAACTTCTGCAACGTGCCCTGTTGAGGGGATGGGGGAGAAGGAAGAACAGCATGAGACGCCAGCGTAGAGGCTTGATGCTGTCCAAGAAGACACTGTTGAGCCCTAGAGCACTCCCAGATGGGAGGTGGGGTATCATGACGGCTTAGGGGGGCAAAGCAGGGGCATGGGTTCAACCAATGGAAGTAATGACTGGAAAGATGGTGCCGTGCAATGGCTTTCTCGCGTGAGATATTATAAACCAAAGGTCCTTAGGCCAAACACTCGTCAGGCTCAGAAGCAGTTAAGAGTCTAAGTGGACTGAATGGGAAGGTGTCTACCACCTTGCTGCACACAAGCCGGGGGGGCTAAGGAACAGCAGTAGGGAACATCACCAGGCTTTGCTGATACAGAGATGGAGACGACTTTAATCTCCACTGAGCCCTTCTCACAAGCACTGAGCTCACATAATGTGGACCGACTTTGTGAACAAAATCAGGGGATTGCCAGACTGCAAAACCCATCAATGAAGTGTCAGCGAAGCCGTCGGAGCTGGGTGTGGGGCAGGGGATGTGACCGGTGACCGTTCTGCATCTGTGCACGGGGCAACAAGGGACAGGGTGCTGCTCCCAATGGGAACAAGATCAGGCCCTAAAACAGCTCTAGTGACTTTGGTGTGTGCTTGCATAGAGTTGGGTGAAGCTTCTTCGGTTTCTGTAGATCAGAGGTGTCAAATTCATCTGGTCCCAGGGATCAGAGGAGTGGTGCAGGATTGGGCCATGAGATCAACCAATGGTGCAGGGCTGGCCTGTGGGCCAAAGTGGGCCCATGGACTCCACCCCGCACCCTGCGTGCCAGATCCAGCACCTGCTCTGGCCAGTCTGGGACATGAGCTGCACTTGGCTCCTGCTTCAGCAGGTCTAGGGCAGGCACCATGTGCAGCACTGGTCCCTGACAGGCTGAAGCAGATGCCTTGAGTACTGGACCCAGCATGTGGCAGGGGTCCCAGGCTGGCCCTGTGCACGTGTCCTGGGCCCTGCATTTGGGGCCAGTCTGGCACACACCAATTGCAGCACGTGAGTCAATTCAAGACACAGGGCCACCATCAGATGTGTCCTTCTGGGCTGTATGTGGCCTGCGGGCCATATCTTTGCTGTAGACCATCATGCTTAGAGAGATCTTAAAAGGGGGCTATTGCTTTGCAAGACAAGCAGGTGGGCACATAACGCAGGGACTGAAATGGGAGAAGTATGAAGGGGATGGGGCTCAGCGTGCTCACTGCAGAGGCCACCTGCCATTACCTAGGCTCCTTGTCCTGATAGTACGCAGGGCAGCCCCACTGCTGGGCCTGGTGATGAAGGGCAATCCCTGGCAAGGATCAGAGTATGGAGCAATGGAGGGGTGCAAGCAGGCTTGGGATGCCTGGGGTGACTGCGGTTGCAGCGGAGGCATGCTGACAGGCAGTGCTGGAGAGGCAATCACGGGGGCGTGCTCAGGCCTGGGGTATGCAGTGCCTATCCTGGAGTCAGGCAGTGGGACTCAGAGGGTGCAGTAGCTCAGCCTGAGGAGCAGTGACAAGGCTGTGTGCACCCCAGTGGGGAAAAGGGATGAACAGAGGCTGGTGCAAGTCAGGAACTAGGTGCATTCAAAGCCTGGGATAGCGGCAGCGAGGGGAGGACCAGGACATAACCGCATGTCCTGCCAATGGCTTGCCTGTCCCTGAAAAGATAGCTAATACTCATCGGTCTGAGCATCCCTCCCCTTCCATCCCAGCTAACTCCACATCTGAGACCATAATTGTAACGGCTTGGCAGATCCCTCTCCCCAAATGGAAATTTCCCTGGAGAGCAAACCCCCACCTTCTCTGCAGAGCCCAGGAAGGGCTCCTCCGGCTGAAAGCTGAGTGCCAGGCTCTGCCGGGGCAGGTACAGTTTACATAGCACTAACAAATGCTTAATTAACAGGCTGACATCTCTTGCTGATTCCCCATTTGATTTATTCTTTGAGAAACAGACACAGATATCATTTGCTCGCATGAGCTCCTGAGAGGTGAAAAAGCCCCCTGCAGCGTGTGGCTGGGCTCGGAGAGGAGCCCCGAGGGGAAATCGTGGTGGTCGGACAAGCAGAGCTGCCCACTGGCTCTGTTTCTCAATGCACTCACCCAGCCAGGCACAAAGAAACCCTCCAAAGCTTTTAGGCTAAAGGCACCGGGTCTCAGAGGTCAGGCCCATATCAGGGTAAATATCGTTCCCCAAGATTGTGTTACCAGCAACTGCAGCCTTCCCCTCCTGTCTCAAAAGGGGAAGCATGCTTGGGAAGAAATTTCTTTCCCAAGTCCCGCTGGAACAACCAGCCTCTTCCAGCTTAATTTGCTGCAGTGTCAGATGCTCGGTTGCTTCCCTGCTGGGCTCGCAAAGGAGCAAAGCCGGGATGGACAGAGCCTGGAGTCCAGTTCATGATCCACCGCTCTGGGAACTGGCCACAGAAAGTATCCAGAGGACCCGGGTTCCCCAAGGTGCTCCAATGAATACGTATTGACATCCACTGGAGACCTGGCCCCCCTGAGAGTGTCTGCCACGGGTTAGGGGAGGTCAGACACCACCCAGGTGTGGCTGTGCCATCACTGCAATGCTGGAAGCTAGCGCACAGCAAAGGCTCAGGCTGTTTTACGCCCATCCTTGGATGCTGCTGCTCAGGACATGGTTAGTAGATATCCGAGTCCTGCTTGTACTGGTCCACCACTACTACCAAGGATGGGGCTGTGCTGCGCGAAGGACGTGCTGGAGTGACCCTTGCCGACAGCCTGTGACCATGGCTGTCTCTGTGCGTCTGTTCTGCACTTGCCTCTGCCCGTATCTTAGTCCCAGGCTGGTTTCCAGGCTCAAGGGGGTGGAGAAGAGCTGGTATCTTCATTAATCAGGTGCCTGTATATCAGGTAGCTGTAATGCCCATTACCTGTGAACTTCACCCACAGGGGTGCACTCCATCCTTGGCCTCCTTCTGCCAACAAGGGACTGGAGACTACACACAAACACTGCCAGCTTCTTTCTCCCAGGCTCAGGACAGCCACCAGATGTTGCCACCTTTGGCTACAGCTGACCAGGCCAGATTTCTAATAATTTGGGATGTGCAAGACACCAGTGCCCGTTGCCAAATGTGGTACCCAGCCTGCCCCTCACCTATTCTCTTCTTCCCTGTTCTAGTCCATATGGGCTCCCAGGCCACCTTCATTGCCTTCCAGTAGCACACGACAGGACATGCGAGTGCTTGCTCTCTCATTCTCTCCTCCGGCCAGGTGGAGAGTTTTGTTTGGGTGGTTTTTATTTTTAAACACACCTGTTATTGTGTTTTTATTTTAGGGAAAGCAAGGTCAAAGAAACATGCCGTGTTCTTGGAGAGGAGGGAGGGGAGGGGAGGCAGCCTTTATTTCTTGAGGGAGCTCCTTCCATGGGTTGGGATGGGGTCCTGAGAGGGGTCTCCCTGGTGGGAAGGAGCCCTATATGGTAGGAGGGGGCATCTCCACTGTGGCTGATGGGACGTCATGTCTCCATCCCACCCCCTTGGGCAATCTGTGTTATCTGGGCCCACCCAGTGGAGCACCTTCATGATGAGGGCCCAGGAATTGAACTTGATACCTAGTGTCTCAGTAAAGTAGTGTGTGTTCCTCTTCATCTACTGGTCTCCTGGGAGTAGGTGGGGACAAGGAAAAGGAGTACCATTTCCCCCCAGTTCATGGCATGACTCACTGAACCAGACCAGCATGGGCTTGTTGGCTACCCTGTACCCATACCAAGACAGGGTATGTCACCAAAGCAAGCAGCTCCTGCCCCTACAGCTCTGTGTACGCCGCCATCCCTCCGCGGGAAGCTGCTCCTGAGAATGCCACCAGCCTTTCTTGCAGCCTCCCTGCCTACCCTCTGTCTTGCCATGCCCAAATCGCTGTGTGATTCCTACTTCCTTACTATCACCAGAGCCTCCTTTCTTCGCTGGCATTGTCCATGCCTTGGTTGGATCCTGACTACTGCAACGTGCATCTCCATAACCCGCCCTTTCTCCTCTCTCCCTAAATCCAGCCTACCAGCACATTCCCCTCCATGTGAAAGTCTACCCCATCACTCTGACCATGCCATTTCCAATCTCCTGGAATCCCTTCACTGGCCCTGTGCTAAATGCAAGCTCTAGACCTTCACCTTTGCAGCCCTGGAGGATGTAGTTTTGCTCCATTTTCATTCCCTCTTCCTCCAGTTCTGTTTTCCTCCTGCTCCTCTCTCTGTACTCATTCCTGTCCCACTTCTTCCCACTGTTCCTCTTGCACTTGGAGCAGATACCACACCACATCCTCTGAGATGCCCCAAGGATAGCCACACAGATGTACCCTACATCCTCTGGGAACCACAAAGACCCCCTGGAAGGGAGGCCAGACAGGCCCACTCCACTTCCACTACAGGATCAAGAAGACTCCTCCAGCTCCCACAGGGGAACATCAAGACTCCCAAAGGGAGTCCAGAAAGCTCCACTGCACACTCCTCCAGAGTCACGAAGTTGCCCCCCAACCACAGGCCCCCTCACCCTAATACCATAGAGACTATAAGAGGGCAGAGGGAACCCTAGATATTACTCCAGAGGGGGGACACACCTCTTCCCATGGTTCCTCTTGCACTCCTACCCACCAAGGGTCCCAACTCCTCTCAACCCCTTCAAATCCCTTTCCTTCCAAGTCTCCCTGCTCATGCTATCATCCAGCATCGTACCTTGGTGGCCAGCAGCCTTGTCAAGTAGATTTCAGACACCATCTTGCTGCCCCGGTCACCCTCTTTTTGGTCTCCATGCTCATGGTTCTTGACTAGGTGCCACATCTTGACTCCACTCTCAAGGTCCGGCGTGATCATGGGTGTGCGGGAGCGCAGGCTGTCCGGGCTGCCTGTGTAGCGGATCATGTTCTCTGCAAGGACAAAACCCCAGCTTGCTCAAGCATTTCTTGGTTAGACAAGGGGTCAGACCATGTACAGTGTGTTTCCTCAGCAGCCGCACTGATTTAGAAAAGGCACATCCCCTGTTACCTTCCCATAATGGCTGCAAGGCTGGTGACTGCTTATAATCTCACAGAGAACTCACCAGACCCATGGAGATTGTTCCCTATACAGGTGTTGGCTATGGTGTGAGCTTCTTTCATGAGACAGTCTGTGTCCCCCACCCCCTGGCACAGTGACAACCAGGTTGGACAAGATACTGGTGCATCTAAGAAGAGCATTAGCCTGCTTCAGCAAGGAGATGAGCAGGTGACCAGATTGGCTTTTCCTGCCTCTAGTTTCATATCGTGCCTAACTGCATGTGAAGTTTAGTGCATTTTGAGCCAGGCCCTTGGAGAAGCACTGGGCATTATCTGGGGACATGTGTTTGGTGGGTGCATACAACAGATCTCGATCAAACACAAAGCGATGGCCCCTCTTTTTCCCATTCCTGACTTAGCTATCCCTCCATTTGTTACCTACTCCCTGCTCTTTCAATTCTTCTTCCAAGTCTTGCTTTCACTAAGCATTTTAAAAGCAATGGTCTGGATCCTCCAACTAACCACATGGAGGATCAGAATCCCCATCCAAGACCACCTCTATTCTCTACTGCACCAAATTCGATTTCTTGAGCCCCTTGCTGATGGCGTGGCCCAGGCCCCTGACCCACTGACAGTGCTACAAGTTGAGTGTATTTTAACTACAATTAACACACAGACATTGCGTCGTCCAGTAGCAGAGGCTGAATCCACCTCATTAATGTATTACCAGCCTCCATATATTAATTACCAGATGGAGTATCCTTGTTCTCTCTGGCTGCTGCTTCATTCTTTGCAATTAACAATCACTTCTGACCCGCCACAGCCTTTCCCATCCCTCCTTGTCCCTGCCTGAAAAATCCAGTAGCAAAGAATTCAAGAACTATAACAATAAATACCCCCCATCCAAAAGTCTTTTTTAAAAGGTCACTGTGCTTTTCTGTAATTGCAACAACACTGCAAAGAGAATGAATCTTAATAAGGTTTTGTGGAGTGCTCACGTCCTTGGAGAAGGGGCAAGGAGGTTCCTCTGGACACTGAGCAACAGCACTTTCCCTCAAGCTACAGATGATATGATATGGAGAAGCTTTCATATACTAAACAAAACTGAGTGCTGGATCCGGGAGAATCAGTGGTTTGCACTGCTCTCCCGCTGCAGATGAGAAACTCACCTGCACTGCTGCAGCCAGGGGTGTCTCAAACCCACGTGAGCCCATGTGTGGGCCAGCTGTGCCCAGGGGGAGGGTGTAAGCTGACAGGTGGGCAAGAGGAACCCCATGGGGTCACCTGGATAACACTATGGGCTCCCACGGACTACTACGGGCATGGACTTTAAAGGGGAGTTGGGCACCTAAGTGCTTGATGTGTCTGGTGGTTCCCATTGGCATGTCATTGGGCTGTCACTATCTAATTAGCACTAACTAGCTGTCAGTGCACTGTTCCCATTATAAGTCCGATGACTTGTCACCTGCATTGTTCCCTTATCTTCCTTCTGCCACCTGTCTTGACATGCATCAGCCAACGGGTCCTTACCATACTTGCTAGCTGAGGTCCTGGAGACGGTGGAGTTATTGACAGCATTGTAGGCAGTAACTTGTTTGGAGACTAATGCTACCACAGATCCATCTGGCACCTGTAGAGAAAAGAGAATTTATTGGTAAGTCTTTTAGAGTCAGCCGAAAGCGCGCATTGTACCAGAGGAAATCCAGGCAGCCAAACCTGAATGACAAATCAGCATTGCTACCCTGAGTATCTCATCATAGTTACTTCCAGCTCCAAAAGATGAGCTCCTCACATGAGAGGTTCCACTGATATCAATGGGACTTCAACTTGTTCCCACTTCCACTGATGCAAGTCCAGGCCAGCTCTGCTCAAGTCACTGGGCAAGTCTGTGGCCAGGCAGGACCAGACCCATGCAGATCCTACTCCAAAGCTGGATGAAGTCAGTGGAACAGGTTTTGGATCAAGACCCTATTTAGCCTAGCTGTATGAGCAATGGCTTGCAGATCTAAGGTGTGGGGTTTCACCCATGCCCCTATTTATCCGCATTCACTTTATGCTGGATCCGAAACTGCAAGAAGCTGATTTTACAGAAGTCTTTGGTCTTCTTAATATCCAATAGTTAGTAAAGCAGGAGACTGACACTGAAAAGGTCCAGGAGGCAAAATTTCACTACCACAGCCAGGTTGCAGAGTCTGCACTGGGTTCAGACAGGACTCTGGGTCAAATCAAGACATATCAGGCTCTGTGGTTCAGACCTCAGTGTCCCAAGATCTCAGAGGCTATTCTCCCAAGGTTTCAACCCCAAATGAAATGTCACAGAACCAGCTGCTTTTGCAAGCTCTCCACTATTTTGCTCTGAAAGGAGCCTCTGCCCACATCCCAGCCAAACAGGATGACTAACACCTCCATCTGCATCCTTGGATTCAAACCAGAATTAAAAGTGTGGGTTCAGATCTAGGAATTCAAATCCTTCTAGGAGTGCCAAGGGTCTGGACTTAAGGGTCTAGTCCAGGCCATCTCTATGAGAAAGGAAGGGGTTCAGCATTTCGAGGGAAGCAGATGTTAAGACTGAGTTCACATTACGGGAACAGCTGGAGCATGGTGCCTGAAAGCGGCCCTGATAGACACAGAAATGCCATGACTCTTGCAAGGTCTCATCCTGTAAAGTGTCCGAGGACTTCTCTAGTAGAGCAGGCATGCAGAAACTCCTGCTTTATCACTGTGGTTTTCCATGCTCGTTGTGCCCTCACTCCAAAGCACCAAAGGGGAAAATTAGTATTGCTCTGCTTCTACAGATGGTGTAGGTATGGCTATGGGTAGTAGGCACAAGGGCTTCAAAAAGAATAGGACCTCTTGCAATGAGCCAGATCTTCCCATCCATTATCTAGGCATTTATGTGGTCCCTGCTTCAAAAGCCAATAAAATAGCATACAATAATGAGGCTGTGGCTAAGCAAAGCTGTATCAGGACAAATCTTTGAAAAATAAGAAGTTATAAAAAAGAGAAGGGGGGAAGGAGGAAGGAAACACTGTGAAGCGCTGCTAGCTCTCATCTCTGTAATAATAATAATTAGTACTTACACAGAGCTTTTCATCTTCAAAGCACTTTACAGACACCAATTAATCAGCTTCTCAGCACGCACTGAAGGTAATTATTGGAGCTCTGTGTTGTTATCCCTATGATGCAGATAGGGAAACTGAGGCATGGGAAGTGGTGGAAGGTGCCCAAGGAGTCAGTGCTGAGTTCAGACTCCACTGGAAACGTTGACTTGAAAATGCCAAAACGCACATTTCTTGACATTTTGGAAATCCCTCTCCTCTCCGAGCGTCTTCAGCCCAATCTCCACTTTTCTTGGACTCGCCCTTAGCTGAACCACGGCCCAGATCTGCTCCTCGGGCATTGGTGTTGACATGCTCCACAAAGGAAGTCAGCACCATTTTCCATTCTTCTAGAGGCAGGGAGTCAGAGGCAGCAGTCCCGGGGAGCCTGACCCTGACCCAGCATCGCCTGGCTGCATCCCCCCACATCCTAGACAGTTCTCCCTGTCCTTAACCTTCTTCTTCCAGACCTTAAGCCCCAAACTTTTTGCTCTGTCAGCATCAAAGACCCCCAGAGCATGAGCAAAACTAGTTTAGCCTCTCCCATATTATCTCCCCTCTGTGCCCTATCCATTCCTGCCCTGTGCCCCCTCCTGTCTGCAGATGCCAGGGGCAGCCTGGCGTATCCCCTTCTACTGCTGGTGGCATGGCGAGGGCTGCAGCTCAGCCTCTTGTTTAAGAGGGTGGTTGCCTACATCTCCCTCTAGTCCCACCCCAAATGATTTGCAGGACACTTTTATCTGGTATCTCTGGGCCAACAGGATGGTTGGGTTGACAGACTGACCAGTGTCAGCAACAGTGACTTGGGGAAGACATACAAGCCCCTTCGTGGTGAATAGCTGCCATGCGTTACCTGTAAAACAGCTCTTTGTCTCTCTTTCTGGTGCTGAACTACCCTCTTTCCACCCCATCTGATCACCCGGGAAGGACCTGTTATCAGGCCAGTCCTTGACATCATTTCTTTGTCTTTCATTGTGTTATTTGACACCTTCTCTAGACATGTGGGCCAGGTCTTCATCTGGTCTACATCGGTGCAGTTGTTAGACAGGACTAAGCTGGCTTACATGAGCTGTGGATCGGACCCTGTATGCATGACATGGACTCCTGGATTCACCTTGCAGGGCCCTGAAAGACCCCAAATGTTTACTCGCAACCATTCCCATGTTCCTACCTATCAAGTGGGGATGGGGATACAGCTCTGAGCTTGGCAACTCCAATCCTGGGTCAGGTCCAGAGACCTCTACTTCCTTTCGTTCTCATGCACCAGCATCTTTGCAGGACACGTGGCCTGTCTTGCCATGCCATGCCTTGAGGGGACTGGGGCAAGCTCAGGTACAGAGCTCAGGTGAAGGCATTGCAAGCAGGAATGGCTTGGATAGACTCCGGGAGCTGCCCTTCTTTTGCCAAACATTCACCTTAGGTCAAACCGCGGGAGACTGCTCAAATCCTAGCCCTGCATCCACCTCTGTGTGATGGGCACTGCAGCCACTCAGCACCTCTTAGGCTTTAGGCCATTGTATTTAAGACATTATATTTAAGACATTGTATTTAAGACATTATAAACGGGCCAGCCCGGTGTTCCAGCAGATGGGAATACCGGGGAACAAAGATGGCAGCAGGATGTTGGGGTGACCAGGAAGATGCAGAAGGGGAAGCTGAAGAAGAGGCTATGAACACACAAGAGTGGGGCTGAGCTGGGCTATCTGATCAGAAGGGTCCTGGGGAATGGATCTGGAAGGACTCTCTCTCTTCCATGGGAGAGGAATAAAGGCCTTTCATCCATAAACAAGAGAAGGATGTTGGAAGACGGGCAACGCCGAGAGTCACTGCCTTGTATTGCTCTTCTGTTTGTTCCAGCACTGAGCTTCACGTGGGGCTGGGATGACGAATGGAGCCAAGACAGGGATAGAAAGAGGGGAGGTTGTGGGGCTTGTGTCAGACCAGCAGCAAGAGACTTGGATGGGAAGGTCACAGAGATGTTGAAGGAGGATTGGAGGGGTCGGGGCAGAGAGAGGCAGGTGCTGGCAGTATTATTCCTGTGTCCCTGGCAGAGAGCTCTTGCCTCCTTACCTGATAATGTGCCAGGGTGTTGAGCCTCTTCCAGTCATTCTCTATCTTGGTGGTAATGTCTTCGTCCTGCAGGATCATTCTGGCCCCGCTTGCCTGCCGCCACTCTGTAGGGAGAAAAAGCACATGTCTTTCTGCTCTCCTGACCCATGGGGAGAAAGGGACCGCTTGATGCACACACTCCACTGGGACCACTCATAGCCTATGCACACCACACATGCGTACACTCATGGGATGTGCCAAATTGCACAGATCAGTAGCAAACAGACCTTTGGGCATGACCCCAAACACCTGACAACTACACAAAGATACATGTGCGGTGTACTCAGGCACACGACATATGCAGCTACACTGAAATCACACAAGCTACCTTCATGCACACAACATGTCTATACACACAAGCCCAATTCAAGGAAGGGATTCATAGATGTATCTCAAATCATGCTCCATGTCTGGAGAAACTGCACCAAAGTGCAGTTAAGTCAACTGTATCCGAACCAGAAACCATCAGAAACACGTAGCTCCATTACTGGTAACCAAGACTCAACCACAACCAGGCACAGCTTAGCCAAGATCTGCGCATAAATTACATCCGTTTGTTCGAGTTAATTAAAACAAACTCCTGAATATGGAGATATCACCTGCCGACTCTAATATAAAAATGCAAGAACCGTTGCAAATTTCTTTTGGTTTCAGCAATTCTCTTATCACCTAATTAGAATATATTTGTACAGCCAACACTTACTTTTATTATTCATTTAAATTAGCGGGAGGGGGGCCCAAGGCTGAGTGCTCATTTCTGGGTGGTACTTTGGAGGGGGATGTTTGCATATGCAAATGCATGACTGGTCAGCAGTGATGATTATGATTTAAAATAGTCTTAGACTGGCTTTTAGTTACTCCAGCCCCTTAAGTCACCACCCCTAGTATCACAGCATAGCCACAGGGTGAGTCTGCATCCCTAACAGCACCTGCAGAGCATCCAAGTGCCTAGTGGTCTCTGCAGCTGCCAAAATGGGAGATCTTGAGGTTCAGGCTGTGTGGGGACTGGGGAGGGAGATGGTTAGTCCTTTGAGATGTCTCCTCTGGCATCTCTAAACCAATAAATGGTGAATGTCAGGGAAGCTATTGCATGGGGGATAGATCACTCCAGGGATATCCAGTTCAATGCTTTCCCTCTATAGCACCCACAGAAGATTGGGCTAGACGAACCATTGGTCTGACACTTCTTATGTTCTCATGTTCTTGCAAGGTGCCCTGCAGAGTACAAAAGTTGGGGTCCCGTGGTCAATACTCTCATGGGGTTTCCTCACTTTCTCTTGGTTAGGGCTTCTATGGGCATGCCCAGCCTCTATGCTTTCTCCTTGAGGGCTTTGCCTACTTCTAATCTCCTTCCCCCCAAACTCAGCATCCTTGTTTAGTGGCACTGCAATACTGCAGTACCATATATGCACTGCAATAGTGCAATAATGTAGTACCATATATGCACTGCAATAGCGCAATAGTACAGTACCATATATGCACTGCAATAGCACAATAGTACAGTACCGTATATGCACTGCAATAGTGCAGTACCATATATGCACTGCAATAATGTAGTACCATATATGCACTGCAATAGTGCAATAGTGCAGTACCATATATGCACTGCAATAGTGTAGTACCATATATGCACTGTAATAGTGCAATAGTGCAGTACCATACATGCACTGCAATAGGTAGGTAGAGTCTGGTTTTCAGTTTCATGCTTGAAGAAGGATGGTGGCTTTCAACTGTCTTTGCTATCCCCATGTTCAAGGGCTGTGCAGACCCTCAGGCCTGTTCAGATTCATGCTCCACTTCCAGTGAGTCCTGGGAAGCAGGAACCACATCCTGCAGTTCTCCCTCAGACCCTGCCCATCCTTTAGGGGCTGCAGACTCCATACACCAGCCCCGCAATGAGCAGGGTACCCAGTAGAGGGGCCGTGTTAGCCATGTCTATGGTGTTTTCTTGCTGAAGTCTGGACCACCATTGAGAAACAAGACCTGTCTTCTCACCCCTTCTCTGGGTGAGCTAAAGCCCAGGAGTTATGCAGAGCCAGGCCTAGAGGAGCTCTGAATGTGCTTCAGCACCACTCTGAGGATGCTCTCTGGCCCACCTGCTCTGCCTCGTGGCTGGCTCCAGCGTGAGCAGAGCATGTGTGGGCAGGTGGAGCTGTTTTTTTGGCAGGAGCCCATCAGAGAAGTTCTCTAAGGGTTGCTCTTTTGTAGCAACACCTAGTAACAGCAACAGCCTCTTGCCAGCAGCAGCAGTTCCCCTGGGAACCATTGTGTTGCAAGTCATTCAGAGGCCCCTCCCTATAGCAGCAACAGCCTCTTAGGAACAACACAGCACCAGGGCACAGCCACGTTGCAACTCATTGTAGTGTCGACTGCATAGACGTGGTTTTCAGAGGCCACCTCTGCCCACTAGAAGGCTTGTTTAATCAAGCCCAACAGCTTCCAGTTACCTTCATGCTCTTTTTCCTGCCCACTGGGGCTATGTTTGGGTTACAGATGTTGTAGGCAGATGTTAGAATCCACATAAGAGCCATTCCTATGCGTGTCAGGAGATACAGCACATTGCAGGGTCCAATCCTGAGCAGCTTGCCCCAATTTGACTATTATTCCCTTACACCACATGCCACTGACTTCAGTGAGAACGTGAGTGAGGATGGAGAGAGGACCTCAGGAGCAGGCCTACTGCCCACAGCTGCCCAAGAGTGGGATCTTAGCCTGAGTACGGATTCGGACGACTGCCTCCTCGCTTGCTCAACTGAGTCCCTTCAATACCCTTTTTTCTCTCTGCAAGTGCTAACTGCGGGTAAAGAGAATGGGAAAAGCACGGCACAGGAGGGTGAAGGAAGAAAAGGTGACCCCTGCATTCATATTCACAGTGCCAAGAGGAAATCTCTGGCTCTGTCCACAGTGGCCCAAAGGAGAGCGGCACTCCTACCCAATTTGTGACTCCTCCACCTTGCAGAGGGAGGGTGAGAGGTGAAATCCTATTACCTTTATCTGGCTTTCCAATCAGGAGCAGCCATAAATGCAAACTCAGGAGACGGCTGCTGGGACCCCTTTATAATTCATTCAGCGGGTCCTGTATCATCTTCTTTCACATGGGAATTACTTATTTGGTTTCTTGTCTAAATCCACCACCTTTCAGGTCAGCGGGGCTGGGAGAAGGGAAATTCTTAGGGGCCTTGGACAACAGGGGTTTCTTTCAGTTGCATCTGAATATAAAGGCAGCTTTTCTCTCTGCAAGTGCTAACTGCGGGTAAAGAGAATGGGAAAAGCACGGCACAGGATTTGATTCAGAGGAAGAATCAATAGAAAAACAGGTCAGGAAAGGCCATCAGGAGGTCATCTAGTCCAACATCCCTGCTCAAAGTGGGACCATCCCACCCAAGTGTTTGTCTAACCTGGACTTCAAACTCCCAAGGATGGAGCCTCCCAGGGGAATCTGATTC